CCCCAAAACCCCAAAACCCCGCGAGATACAATTTTTCAAAGATAAGAACTAGTTAAGAAGTAGTTAATACTATTTACAAAAGTAACTTCAACAGAAGTATAAAACGTTTAGAGACTAAATAACTTAAATTAAAAAAAGAATGATGCAATAAATTATTCATTGTAATTAATAGGAACTTGAACTTGGTACTGTTGCTTAGAATTTATTGTTAGTAGAACAAGATTAGAATGATGGTGCGAGGAAGTGTTCAAAATTTACTGAGGAAGATGCTCTCAATGAGATATCTAAATACTAAAAAGAATAGAATCAGAGCGGGAATTCATACTTATAAGCAGCTTAATAAGAATAGTAAAAAGTTATAATTGATCTAGTCGGTGAACAGTCTTGCATCAACAATCAACTTCATATCTGCTGTTAATAAAAGGTTTAGAAAAAACCTCAAATCTTAAATTAGAATCGAGTGCTATAATAATTAGATTAAAAAACTCTATAGAGCAAGCAAAATCATACAGTAAATCCTTTTAATGCTCCATAACCAATCAATGACTCTTAAATAAATGGAAGTGTTTAAGATAAGCCTATTTTAGATTAGAAATTTTCATATGATAAAGAACAATAAATTTCTTACCAGATCATTAGGAAATTTTTCTTGCATGATATAACTTTAGACCAAGAAGTTCTGCTAATTGTAAACTTTAAAGGAATTTTAAAAAGCTTAATGCATGAAGTGACTACACTAGAATTAAATTGTAGAGTTAAAGATATCCATAGCAAGAATTATAATAGTTTAAAGAAGTCAATCCTAGAATTTGAATTCTAACTATTTCATTTTAAAAGAAGATTGAATGAAGAAATGATATTTAAAGCTATTGATTACATCGAAAGGAAACTCCTCGATGTAAATTTGAGATTCCTTCAACTAGAGTATGAGATATACAAAGCATTAAGATAAATTAATGAAATTGACTGCCATAGATTCAATGTAGTCAATAATCATCAGTTCATCTATATGAAATTTTTATCAGCTGAGATTGAAACATTTTAAGAAGAACATTCTAAATGTAGAATAGCATTTAACTTGAATTAAAGTCTTAAAGGCGAACTGCAAGAGAGATATTCTAAAATAAGAGTAGCTATTTCAAGAGTTTTACCTTTTTATGATGATATCATGCTTAACAACAAAGGACATTAAATAATATTAGTTTACAATGAGAAAAATTAATACAAAGAAGCATTGGCGTATATTCGCAGGAATTTCCATAAAAAATCAACTTACAATTGGCTGAAAAGCTTTTTCTGCAAACCCACTAAAAAATATTAATTAGCTGATGGTGATTTGAAGTTTACTGGATTTAAACTGTAAGAGGCGGAAATATTTTCAGAGATAAATAAAAGAAAAGATATAAAAAAATGTCATTTAAAGAAAAATTAGCAAGCCTTTTTAAGATAAATGACTTTTGATGAAAGAGACAAAAGAAATGAAGATTAGTAATAATGAATATATTTTTCAAGATATAATCATCTGTTTAAACAGTTTGTTTTTCATTTTTCATCCCCTAAGATTTTTATAATACCTAAATAATTCCATCATCCTCCAAACCTTGAAGAAGAATTTGATTTTACTGCCAACCACAGTCAGAATTAATTGCAATCCTGCATATCCAAATGTGAATACAACTATGTCAAGAAAATATGTCACAATTATAATGAAAAGCCAGTCCATACAAAATTAAGCAGGGTAAAGATAATTAAAGAAAATCACAAAGGCTGTCATTGCAAAGTAAAAGAAATAGCAGATAAAATAGCCAACAGCATATCTACACCCCATCTGTTTATCAATTTCATCAAAAGCCTTGTTAATCATTCTAGTTTTGACACCTTCAATTTGCCTCCTGAGGCTCATAGGAATTCTTAATATCAATGCAACTGGAATCGCTATTATCCAGGGAGCAATTACTAAACCAGTAGCACAAGCTGCTGCAATATACATTGTGTTCTGAAGAGTTTGTTAGACAATATCATAGTATCCAAAAGCAAAACCAAAGCTTGATATCAAGAGATGTAGAGATATGTTTAAATAAAGCAGAGTCAGCCTTACATGTCTAGGAGATATTTTACTATTTTTGGACATTAGACTCATCCATAGTGTATTTTTCAATGATTCATTGAAGAATACCATTTTCCTCTCATTAGGATCAGGGTGATGTTTTATTGTTTATTTGTAGAACCTATTTGCTCTTTGGAAAGGAGTACCAGCTCTGCCAAATACCTTAGCCTTGGCTTTTCTTCTGAGATCTTTCTATTATTCTTTAGTCAGCTCCTCATATAACTTTAGTTTATTAGTTGACTTGAAATATTCATCAGCATCGTTATATTTTTTTAGGCCATCGTTGGATTGTTTTAGACTCGATGTGTCGAATAGATTATCTATTGACTTCGTGTCATCATAATTTACTTTTGGATCTTTAGCCATTTGTTCCTGAATAAGTATCTCATTGATAACCTCTTAGAGACACTATATTTCTTTGTCTGGTATCTCAGCTAAGTCATTTCTAATTTATTTCTTAGTCATGTTTTGCCTGTTCTTTCTATCCCTACCAGAGTAGTAAACAAGTCCTGATATATACATAAACCAAAATGCCAATACAACGTAAATACCTGGTTTGAACATGAAATCTATAGGCGAAGGCGTTTTATGCTATAATAATTCCTCGAGATTCTTGAAATATCTATCGAATGGAACTATTAAATCTTCTTTTGTTATCTTTCCGTTTTCCTCATCTTCGGCAGATTTATACTAAGCGGGTAACTATTCTACTTCTTATGCTATAATCTCCACTGGAGTATGAAATATAGGTGAAAAAGCAGATAGATGATTGCACAGACACTTGATATGAGTAAGATCAACACCAATGAACTAACAGCCATTTTTACTCCACTAAGTTCCATTCCAGTAAGTGCATGAAATTTCACTTTAGTTTAGCATTTTAATTCTTTTATAATTCTATGCTGCTTTGTAAGGACTTAGTGAGTTGTAGGTCTACATAAACTCACTAAGATTTTAATTGTCTTAAAACGGGTAGGAGAATTCAAAACCTTTATTCAAATTTTTGATAGTTGCCTTTTCCAGGGTAGATAAATTATAAAAGTTTACCTCGAACACATTGTTTGAGATATTTTAGGAGTTGATGATTTAATATGGGTTGATAGCATACTCAATAGCCTCTAGAATAAATTCATTTTCAAGAGCTAAATTTGGATCATCAAAATTATTTGGGGATATAAGTATTGCTGTTCTTTAACTTTTTTTAATTGTGTTTGAAGCCTGAATAAGTATCAGGGTATCCTAATTTATTAGCATCTATTTAAAGGAGATCATTCTTGTCTAATACTGATAAAGAGGATCAAGCATACTAACTTATTCTAATTAATTTTACCGTATTTTAGCTACTATTGCCATTACTTATTATAAACTCTCTTAAATATTCTCAATAAGAGTTGTATCATTCTTCCACCCTGTTGTAGCAGTTATCAAAGTAATTTTTTTCTCTATATATTCCAATAAGTTTGAAGCAATCATCAAGAAAATCTTTAATGTCTCTTAACTTTGAGGCTAATTTTCCCATGGTATCATTTTGCTATTAATAATCTACACTATCAAGCCAAAGGACCCGTCATTTATTTGCTCTATTTAATAAGTGCATATCTTTAAGAATTCAATCTCATATGCTCGAGTTGCAAGCATGTTATACTTAAAAGCTAATTCTAGTTAATACTTCTAAATTACTGAAATCTAGGTTCTATTTGAATAGGAGCAATTCAACCCTCCAAAGGGCTCACTACAATTGCAGTAGTACTTTTTATTGAAGGGCTAATAAATGCAGATTCCAATATAATTGCACAGTTTGTCATCACACTTTTAAGCCTCTAATTTAGGATCGAACCTGTCTACTTCCAAATTAGGCAAGTCACCAAGATACTGCGTTATTAGTTTTAATTAACTCAAAGCTTATAAATAGCTTATTTCATTTTCAAGGTTGTCAGTTTTGAACTTTTGCAAGTCTACGCTAGCATCAGCAGATGATTTCTTCTCTAAGGATATTGTTGCCAAAGCTGAATTCTAAAATCCTTTCACATTGACTACTGTGCATTTAAAAATCACATTGGTATACCTTTAGTAAGTTGCAGAAAAAGTGTAATTTAAGTTTGGTGTGGTCGATGAATCGATAGGAATAAATATCTCACCATCCATTGAATATGAGAAGTCATATCTGTCAATAGGCTCGTTATCAATCCAGTTTTACTGCTTTATTTAGAACTTGGTAACTTGGGCGATTCCTATTAGAGGAGTTACTGCACATTTCCCACTTCTTGGCTGTATTCCAACATATATTTCATGACTTAGAGTAACATACAGATCTTTGTAAAAAGTGTCATTTCCTTTGACAAAGAATGTAAGCGTATAGTAGTTATTTGCTTAAAGGACGTTGCTATCAAGATGAACTCTTGTTAAGTCAGTTTGATAATAAGTTTTGATGACATCATATGTTATATCAAGAGATCCTTTTTACCTAGTAATAATCCAGCCAATATTGAAAGTATTATTTGGTTCTGAGTTAAGCATAGTATATGATGATTTGATATCTATAAAGTCTTCAATACTAAATAGACTATCAGTTTCAGGGGTAATATAGTTGATTCTAGGATTTTGAAAGCATTTCTATTTTTCATGATTTCCATACATTCCTGATGGACATTTATTAACGCAGCTAGGACCATTATATTATCTAAATGCCATTAATTTGCAAACATCACAATTGCTAGGGTCATCTTTACAACTTTGGCAAAAATCATCGCATCTTCTACAAAGTCCTGTCACTTTATCCATAAATAGACCGTTTGGACAGCTTTAAATTATTTCACAAGTGCGAGAATCTTAAATGAGTTTAAGAGGTAGTTCACACTAAATACATTGATTTATATTAGGACCTATGCAATTCAAGCAATTAGAATGGCATGGATTGCAGATATAATATCCTATTTTTTCATCAAACATAGGATATTACCCTTTTGGACATATCTTCAAATATATTTCTCTAAATTCCATAAGTTTTTATACAGTTTAATGATTGGCATTCAGTGCTAAAATACTTGTAAAAGTTGTAGGGATAGTTGGATCAAACTTTAAATTATCAGCAGCTGAGTCGGTGAAAACTTATACAGTTCCATCATTTGGCTCACTTAATTTCCAATAAGCAAATAGTGAGGATTTACTCATTGAAACATCAACAAATTTAAAAGAATCTATTTCAAATTGATTTCTGACTACATTCCAAAATCTGAACTCTTTAAAATACCCAACAAAAGGATTTTCCGGCCCTGAGGGGTAGACTGTACCGCCTAGTGTAATTTCTTATGGCTTTTATAAATTTTAAGCAACTAGAAATGCTGCATTATCTCCGATGCTATAAGACTATCCGTTTAAATAGCAGTTAAAAGATAGCAAAGTTTTTGAAATTGAAAAAGCAAAGTGAATCCAATTTTCTGAGCTCAGATCAAATCCTTCTGTACCACAGTAGATTAATGATCCCATAAAAAGAATATCAATAGTGTTTTGTCCGAATTTCTTTCTCAATTTATAAGGTGACATGCCAAGTATTATTTCTAAAGCCTAGCTATTAATATTGTCAGCTTTAAACCATAATTCAACAGTTATGCTATCAAGTTCTGAAGTAGGCTAAAATTTGATGGGATTTAATGGAAGGTTTAGAATCTTAGATGTATTTGTTCTGAGATAATACTCTCCTGAACAATTTAAGACAGGACTTGTAAGCTAAGGATACCCATACTTGCATTATTCGCAAAAATCACTATTTGAGCATTTGTCACAAAAATATTTGCATTCCTTGCAAATTCTAGCATCCTCATCAGCATAGAATGGAGTAGGGCATTCATCAATGCAGGAACTACCTAATAAATAGAACCTATCACTGCATTTTGAGCATTCAGAAAATTAAGAGCCAAAGCATTCCTCGCATGAGTCATCACATGGATAGCATTTTCCAGTAATGGATTAATACTGTTTTACTTCACAAGAGGTTACACATTTACGATCACCCTGAAGTACACCTGGAAGGCATGTAATGCAATCTGATGGAGAATTAATACAAATCTCACAACCCATATCACAAGGTTCACAAACCCTACTAGTTGAGTTTTCAAAGTAACCTACATATGGACATCTACTAATACAAGTATTATTGAAGAGATAAAATCCCTATTTGCATGAATAGCAAGTGTGATCTGTAAAATTGCAGGTTTAACAATTTTAATAGCACTGCAGGCAAAGGTTTTTATTAGGGTCTTAATAATAACCATCTCCACATGTTTCAACACATTTACCTAGTTTATAAACTGTGCTTTCAATACAGTCAGTACAAATATTGCTTATACAAGAAGAGCAATTAGCAGGGCAACTTCTGCAAGTTTCGGTTGTAGGATCAAAATAAGTTTCACTTCCGCAATAAGACAATGAGCATTTCCCTTTACTTAGTCTGCTTCCTTTTGTACAGGAGGTGCAATTGTCATATGAATTACAGTCAGCACAATTTTATTAGCATTTATTACATACTGGCATACCGTGTTTATCAGGAAAGGTACCATTTGGGCATCCATCAGCCTAAGAAACACATGAATTTGAGCCATCGTCTACATACAAAAAACCTGGAATGCAATACAAGCATTTAGTAAGTGATGAGCACATTGAGCATGGCTCAGAACAAGGCATACATTCGTAAATATCAGGATCATAGTAACTTCCAACAAGGCAATCATCTTTTACACATCTTGCATCCTTGAGATTAAATGGAGGATTACAGACTAGACATGCTTTTTCATCAAGTTATGAGCATTCGACACAAAACTTATTACATGTCAAACAAGTTTACAAGTAATTATTTGTATCAAAGGTATTCCTATATCCTGGAGGACATAGAACCTTATGAGTTGCTGGTTTAATGAATTGTTATTCATAGTTTTCTGGTTCTAAATCTGTCGGTATTGTTACTTCTATTCTTAAATTTGTGTTAATTGAAGCATTCCAAATAATAAATGGTCCTTCATCCAAAGGATAATAGTATTCAATAAGATATTCAGATTTCCCCAATTAATAGTTTTTAAACGAGATACCATAGTACCTATCCAAAAAGGCATCAGGAAAGAATTATGTTGATGGGAAGCTCCAAAACTATATCTCACCCATTAAAATATACCTGCCAGATGTTTTCATGTTAATGTAATTGAAAAATATTAATGTCTTCTAATGAACTAAATCTCTTGGTTCACCTGCATATTTAACCTATGATACTTTTTTGTTAAAAGAAACTATCAAGGAATTTTCATTTTTAGAAATCCATCCAACAAGTACATGGCACCACTATGAACTTGGTTGATAACTAGATATATTATCATCCCACTTAATATTCTACTCATTAGATTCATATTCCATAACTAAATCTAATGTACCTTTCTTGTTTAATCTCCAATATTAGTTCGAATTTATCTCTAAAGAAATTATTCAAATTAAACATACTTAGTGTTAAGAAGAACTTATCAATTTTTTGATTGTTATTTTTCCAGTCAGTTACAAAGGAGAAAATAGTAGCTGTTTGAACTTCTGCTGCATCAAACTTGACCCAAAATGAATAGAGTTAGATATTTTTGCTATCCTATGAAAATGGTGAATCAACGGTAAAATATCTGCCTGTTTTGCTTGTAACAGAAAGAACTCTATTATCTAAATCATCTGGAACAAAGGTGTCTTAAGTAAGCCAAAATTAAGCATTAACTTTGCTTATATATAGTATTTGAATCAATAAATAAATTAGACTTCGAAAGTTAATCTTCATTTTTATATACTTTAACTGTAATTTTATAATAATTAATTGATATTTAAACCTCTATTTAAATATCTTTCAAAATTTCATCAATTTTCTGACTTATTTTTAATGATGGGGTTTTGGGGTTTTGGGGTTTTGGGGTTTTGGGG